AAAAATTTAATGTAACATTAGCTAAATCACACTTTATTTTCCAGCCCTGTTTACTCCATGGATGTATAGAGAGAACTGGATACAGTGTTCAACATGGTGCGACCATAAGGTGAGTAACAAAAGCACCACATTAGCAAAGCAGCAGCAGCTTCATTGCATTCAGTGTCTTATGTCCAGTTTTGGGAGTAATGCGTTATAAAGTGACGTGTTTCTGACATTACACAACTGTCAATGCTACAAAAGAGGCAAATATTGAAATAATTACAGATATTATGGAACAATATTCATTGTAACACGTTGTATTCTCCCTGCCAGTGTAAACTTGTGTTTTTAGTACGTAGAAAAAAATTGTTAAATAGTAGTGATAAAGTTTGTGAAATGTCGATTCCTTAAATATTTAAATTTTGTTGGGGAGAGAGTGAATGGCAAATTAGATTGAGTTATATCCCCTGCAAACTGATTGATGGGGAACAAGTCATTTTTTTCCTACACATAACGTAGCAGATCATCTGCGTACAGGGACACTTTATGCTCAGCGTTTCTTTTCTTAATGCAACCCAGAGCTATTCACCTGTATTGGAAAGGATTGGATCGGGGAACCAGTATCGGCAGACACTCAATATCAAATGACTGGGATCAGAAAACACAACTGGGATGATTGACACATTATAAATAAATAAATACGAAAATTAATTATAAAAAAATGAGAAAATAATCCTTGAAAAGTACTTGAAAGTCTGTTTGAACCTTGGTAGTAAACAAGCTTCCCTCAGTTATACTTTCAAGCACATCACATTTGAAGCTCATTCAGAGCTGAGCAGCAGCTTGTCCAGTCAATCTGTGAAACTGTTCCCTAACATTATTTAACGTAATGTCTGAGGTAGGTACATTAGTATAAAAATTGTGGTTACTGCTGTTTGTTGTAGTCCTTCTTCTTGTGATGTGCAGTCACATCTGCTCGACCAACCACAATCAACCACACCCCCGCCAACCATCCTCAAAGCGAGTGGAGAACAGAGGAAACAAAAGCAGAACCTGTGACAGTGGATACACATGCATGTACATATTCTATACAAATGTATAGGATAATATCGCAATCAGAAATACTTTAACTGACAGAAATGAAATGAGTTATAGTAGTAAGTTTTTAAAGAATGTGAAATTGCAGAAGTTATAAATTATTACAAAGAATGATGGAATAATCCACATTGACCAGAGACATTACATTTTATGACTAATGACTCAAGAGTTTTGACACTGAGGGAGGAGTTACAGTGTTTGGTGGCCACAGGCAGAAAGGACTTCATCCCACTTAAAAAACTGCAATTGGCCTTGCTTTTTCATTTTCCCCCACCAACCTTCATCCTCCTACCAATCCTCCCTTTGTTTATCCCTCTATCACTGCTGGCCAAGTGGGTAAACCCGGATGTAGAGACTCCCTGTGAGCGTGGTACAGTCATGGTGAATCATGGGAAGTCGGCTTGCTTGCAGTCACAGCATGGATGTGTCTGGATTTTACAATCTCTTATCTCTCTTGTGCCTCCTCTTCTTCCTCCTTCTTCTGTCTCCATTCTTATTTTCACTTTGTCCTCCATTTTAACACCTTTGTCCCTCTCCCTTTCCTGACCTCTCTCGGCACTTTATTCTTTTTCACCTTTTGACTGGCAATGAAAAATGTATCTTACACCTTAAATAATTCTCTGAATTGGAGTTAATGCCTATTTTAGAGAACAGGGTCAGAGCCTCATGTGCAGTATATGGTTGTATAGAGTGACCCATCATTTTCCATAGTGTTTAACCGCTGCAGAAATACGGATGTTTTTATTGTCTGAGCTTTAAAATGTATTTAAAAGGTCTGAAATGGTCAAGAACATATTTTTTTTTGTAACTGACCATTTGACTAAATGGTACAGCCTAGAATGTATCTTTGTAGTATATGATGTTTTATATATTTTAAACACTAAACAGTACATATTGTACTTTGAATTGAGATTATGCATTAAAGGAATCTCAATATTCATACATTTTCTTCACTTATTTTGTCCATATCGTCCACTTGAAGTAGAAATACAAGCAGTGGAAATGTCCAATAACATCAACGCAGTAATATGGCTGCCAGTGCTCTGGAAGGCTGTATTTGAATTTTTCATGTACATGGCTCTTTCTTTTTCTTACACTTCTTGGCTGGTGTGTGTCTAGGGAAATTAAAAAAACAACTTAAAAGCCACACAGAGTAGCTTACTGGTAGCCTGCACTTTTCACCTTGACAACTGCCCAGTATCGGAGGTCTATCGCAGTTCTTTGATTAACGCCCACTGTTTACCGTCACTATGGTTATCTAGCAGCTAGCTCAGTGTTTCTAAAGGTAACATTTATTCATGGTAAGTAAGTTAGCCTTTCACTGGGTTTGTTGCCCTTGCTTTACACCCGTGCTCTCTTTTGTGTTAAAGAAGACCCTCTAACCCTCTTTGCCAATTTAATTGCTTAACATAAGAATACCGTATTTATTTAAGCTATTGGGAGGACGAATAAATTTTTTAATTGAGATGTCAGTATTGGATTGGATTTTTATTTCAAGCAGGATTAAAGAATAACTATATAGAAATAGCCAATATTCTCGCTGATGGTCTTGTCACCTTCTGTGGTGGCTGCCATGTTGGACCGCCAAGTTTCTACAGTAGCCCAGAAAGGACAAACCAAAAACTGTCAATGGTTGGAAAGGAGGGTGAATAGTGAGTTGCAGTCTTTTTTGTTAAGATCGTTAATTTGTTATTTTCCTGAACTATATAGTATGTATGACAATGTATGAATGAGACATGAGGTAGTTGGATAAAAACTTTTAAAATCTATCTGGCTGTTGCTAGTTTCTCCAAACCCTAACTTATAGTTGATAATGAAACATAAACATTGGTTGCAACCCTAAACATTAGTGTGGAAACTAAGGATGTTAATCTTAAACCAGAGGACGGCTAACCTTAGTACAGCTGAAGCTGATGGATGTTGACTTGAACCTAATAAAGTGCGGCTGAATGCTTGGTCAGACTAGCTGAACTGAAACAGGATCTGTCACAGGTCTCCTGCATTTAACCAGGAAATATCAAACAGAGTATCACATTGCAAGCAGTGGCAAGTCTCAGCTGTAACACCAGTGCTTGATTCACCGTGCAGGTTGTAGTCTGATGGGATATTGGTAAAGTAATGACTTCTCCTTTTTCAAGCACAAAATATGTCAAGACAACATTGTGTCCAAGGACGAAATCCTCCCTCAGACTTTGGTGGGTGGGAGTGTGAGTGAGTGTGTGAAAGAGAGACTGAGACCTCAGGACAACAGCTAGCAGTATGAAGGTTGGCTGCTTTTTTTCTCTCGCCCCAGACAAACTCTGAAATGATTAACTTCAGTACAACACACAACATGCTGCCAACAAAAATGTGATTTGGGTGTCGGTTGAATAATACACTATCTGGGTATTCACCTCAAACCTGCATGCTATCAGTCTGCCACCATTGTCTCTTTTTACCAGAAGGTGCGTGGGCACATATATATGCATACGCTTGTCGTCTTTTGTGTTTTTAGTGGTATGCCTCTATGCTTAGTACAATGAAAGCTGCCTCCACCTACCAATGGATGACTGTTTTTAGTTGTTGTTTCATTGACAGTATATATGATGGACAGAGCATCTGTGAAGTGAGTCAATGTGGAAGTGTCTTAAACTTTCATTCAGTGTAATGGCCAGCAGGTGGCAACTTCATTGGCTGCGATAAAAGACTGATACCATGCAGGCTTGTGGAGAAAAGAGACGATTTCTCACTTGATTTATAAGCTCAGTTAACAGTTTCCTAATGAGTTTATGGTCTCAATCTCTAGTTTTAAGTGTGCTTCCACACAGCATGATGTTCACTTAGTAAATTTTGGTCCAGTTTAGAGTAAAATAGACCATAAAACAGGGTTTGCTTTAGGGCGTGGCTACCTTGTGATTGACAGCTCATTCTCAGTGAGTCCGTCCAGCTCAACGCACTAAATTCGGATCACTAGTCAAAATAATATCTCACCTAAAATGGTTTCAGAAGCATATTTTAGTGTGTGTATATATTACACTACACATTTAAGTCGACAGAAGCTTCTAAGATGCTTTGGTGTTGCGGTTTGTGAACTCAAGGTGGTTTTGGTCCCTAAGTTTTCCATTCACGTAGTAAACGACATAACATCACTAGCTCAGTTAACTGACCGGTCAATATAGCATGCTATAGGTCAAGCTGATAGTGGAGCGCCCTCAACTGGATCACAAGGCAAACTACTTCAGACGGTCTGTTGGGTTTCTAGACTGTAAATTTTGAATTTGAACAGGTCATTACACCTTGAAAATTAACCACGTTCGAACAAATTTTTAAAGTTTTAACAAAAAATTAATTTCGAATTAAAAAAAATATCTTTTTAAATGCTTTTTGTTGTCTGACCAACAGCCCAAATGGATTCAGTTCACAACGATTTAAACAAAGAATCAAAAATTATTTATGATTATTTAGGACAAATCTTAAATTTTTGCCCCACTAGTGGTAAGGATCTAATAATGGCAAAGTTGCGTCTTCATTTCAGCATTAGTGTCACATGGCTGCTGGTGCTGACGTAAACCTTTTTGATTTCACTAAGCTTCTGTAGATATACTAATAAAATAGTTCAACTGTGGCTTTGCACATTTTTTATTTGTAAGCTTGTTTGGCCATGTGATGCAGAAGGACAATCACAACAGCGATATTTATTTAAACAAGAAGAGGAACGTTATACAATTGTAATAAATGTCCTTTCATGCATTGTTGCCTATTAATCTGTATGTCCTTTTGTTTTTGGTGCTGGGAATGAATGTAATATTTGCCATAGTTTACCTTTCTAGAGACTTGATCTACCAAGTGATGTTTTTCTTATGTTTTATCTGTTGGAAGAGGATCCCAGGGCGTTGTGTATGCTGTCCCAAAGGTCTTGGTTGCCATGGTAGCCAACGAGGTTCATTTAGATGAAGGGGTGTAAAGGTGTCGAACTGGCGCTGAACTTGGAGAAGGTCACAGTGGCTCCTGCTCGTCGGCTCAGAGTAACGAGCCAGCTGGGGTCTTTCTCTCAGCAGATGTGGAGCTTTACTGTTTCGTTATAATCGGCGTATTACTGTCTGCTGGTCCGCCTATGTGAGGTGTCAGATTACACTGCTGCCGAGAGTAAACAAGCTTCTCCCCGAGCATTAATCTACCTATAAAAATCTCAAGCCTGTGTGTTCACAGCTGCAGCAGTACACGTTCATGCTAATATTTTATAATCAGGTAACTTAGGTACTCAGGTAACAATCACATCCTGCAGTGAGCTCAGCTGCAGAGCACACTGTAGCTCCTAGATCACATAACCAATAGTAAGGAGATCAGGGGTCAGAAGGTCACAGCACCCAGAACCAGCGAGATGATCGTGATGGTAGAGCGATGTTTTAAGAAACCTAATAATATAAAATAACTATTTATACAGCACCTTTCATACATAAAATGCACCTCAAAGTGTTTTACAGGACAAAATAAAATGTAGGGATGTACAATATGGATTTTCTTTCAGCCAATACGATAATTGATAATTTCACATATTTGTTCATAACCTGTAGTCTATGCACACCTGAAGGTAAAGCCTGGTTCACACTGCCTGCATTTGCAATGCATGGCGGAACATCTTGCTTTTTTATTTTGGTGCCTGTGTTAATAAATTAGAGCAGCTACACTGTGACACTAGTGTTGCATGCACTGTGAGCCGTGCATGCAACACTAGAGTCGACGTCTCGCCTATATTTTTCCTCAAGCTCAAAAAAATATAAATGTAGTTTTACCTCCTGTTTCTGTTTGAGATGCCTAAAATCGTTTCAGAATCATTTTAGTACACTGTTTAGCTGTACTACGAGATCGTGTGTGATCAGGCAAACCGCAATTGCTTCCTGCTATGGACGAGTCAAAACTGTGCAGCCAATGAGTGCAGTATGTCACCCCCGCTGGTTTCCACAAACTGTCATGGCGATGACCATTATGCCAAACTCGAGGCTTCAAAGCGGTTCTCCACAAACCAATGGGTGATGTCATGATGGGTTCATACTTGCTCTGAACAGATGACTTGTTTTTGTTGGCTGATTGACACACTTTGATAATGATCTCTTGGTTTTATTGATTAGTCTTTGGGTTGTTCCTTTTTGTGATTTCATTTAACCAAAGGCTGTCTGTATTTTCCTGGCAGGACTAGAAACATGGCACACACGGCGCGAGGTCCCGTGGTTGGCCGGCCATTGATATTCGCCAATGAAGAGAGGAGGGCGGTTCACTCCTGGTCGCGGATCTCCTCAGCGGGGCACAACGTCCTCCTAGATGCCCTGAAGATCCTCAGCCCCATGTCCCGTGACCTGTCGAGCAGCGAGGAGCTGGTCACCTTCCTGCAGGAGCTGAGCGAAGAGGGCCACAAGCCGACCGTGCTGCGCAGCAAGGATGTGTATGGCTACCGCTCGTGTACAAACCAACCCCTCACTGAAGACATGCTGAAGCCACCCAACAGGAGCGTCAGACCCACTGCCAAGAGGAGGGGGAAGAGGCCCCTGACCAAGAAAAGAGAGGTGCACCCGTCGTGGAACACCCCTGAGAGGATCAGCCCGAGGATTCAGGGGGTTCGCCCTCCAGAGCTGCTGGTGGACCATCGTGCTATCATCTGCAGCAGGACACCCAATCGGACTGTAGAGTTGTCGCAGGTGCGGCCATGCCTCAGACTGACCAACATTGAAGGCCTGTCTGGCTTCCACACAGCCAGACTCCAGATCCACACTTCCTGGGACTCGTCTTCTGAGGCGCCCTCTGTTGCCTTTTCACAGCAACAGCACCCTCCAACGCTTTCAGGAATACCTTTGCAGCCTTCTCAGAACGGTGGCGGGGCGCCCACCAACGCTGTGGCCTTGTTCAGCCAGAAGAGCCTGTCCTGTCCCATCCGACTGGACGGTGCTCTCATTGGAGATTCAGCACCGGTCTTTTATGCCAATGGCCGCGCGTTTCCAGAGACTCACACAGAGATGACCAGCAATGGTTGGAGGAGCAACGGCCTCCACCGGGATGGTCGGAGCTCCAAGGAACTGAACAACCCGACCCGGCAGAGAAATGGCTGGAAGGACAAGAACAGTTTTAGATGGAAAGTGATAAAGGTGGATGACTCTCGCTCGGTGGCTGAGGCCCGCAGGAAAGCGCAGAAGATCCTACAGGTCAATCTGTCTCCGGTGATTCAGATCCAACCCCTCAACCACGTCCTGAGAGACTTCAGATACCAGAATAAATGACAATTCCCCTCAAACCCACACACATTGTCTCCTTTAGCAGATGTTAGTGTTTTACATCCATTAGCCTCTACCTGGCTGAGCCCCAGTGTTCATAGCAGACGTCTTACATGGGTTTTTATGATCTCTGCTCAGTATTGGAGGTAGAGAAATTGGAATCTGTCAGTGGAAGTTCTGGTTCCTGACAGGGGCACTTGGCATTGAAAGGCTTTTGAAGTTGGATGATGCTTTTCCCAGCAGGCTGGGAAATGACTATCAGCTGAATGCTGGTACGTTTTCACTGTCTACGTTAGTTTACGCTACTCAGTACTTCAACCAACCATCATTCTGCTTTGAGTTGACTGGCTGCTAACCAATGTTGCTGATGAATTTTGGGATGCAGCATCCACTGTGACTGTCAGGTCAAAGGTGAATTTGTATTGCCCTACAGTAAGGCACTGGGTTTGGCTCACAGTTGTTTAAAGAGTATTTATAACTCATTTGAAGTGTAGCGCCATTTTGTTAAAAAGTATTTTTTACTTGGACGCCCAGACGAACTGGTGGATGAGCAGGGCAGTTTCCAAAGTCTTCAGATGAGCAGACGCGGTGGTTGGTTGGTTCCAGCAAAACAAATAAACTAAACAAGAGGGGGGGGAAAGAGAAACGTGTTTAGTTTGTCTTCCTTTTTTTGTATTTTTGTTGTGTTTCCACTGGAAATCAGAAAGGCTTTGGGAGCGAGTACAGCAGGGAATCAAACCCGCTGCCCATACAGAGATAGATTGATACCTGGATGATCTGTTCGGTCCTTCACCAAGTGTTCCTTTGGTTTAGTTTATCCACACATGCAGACAAAAGACCTATAGAGTATTTTTGACTGTTGGGAAGATTTGACAAATCATGAATTGATGGAAGCAAGAAAAAAGCAAGTATGGAAGAGGACTCGGGCCTCGTGAAAACATTTTGACCTCTGACATTAATCATCGAGAATTCTCAGATATAAGAATTCTCCCACATTTTCTCATTATTAAACATGATCTCCAGATGCTCTTTATGGAGTTTATTCTCCAAATTGACATTTTCCCTCAAAAATCTTCCATCCATGATGTGACCCTGGTCCACCTCCATAAGCTTCAGATGTTTAACACCAGATACAAAACCTCCAAGATGTGCACTCTGGCTGGGAAATGACCATCAGCTGCTGGTCAATGCTGCTCAAAATTTACTTTTGTCCAGTTTCTGAACTTCACAGGCAATCAACTGTCAGTATTGACATTTGTTTGGCTGATTTTAAAAATGTTTATGATGTTTGTTTAAGTTAAAATCTCCCACCAGGACTCATCTGTGTTCTGCTCCGTTAATGAATCTCCCAACAAAAGTCTACTTTATAGATTTTTTGTTTTTGAATTCCTCAGCTGTGATCAAACTGTTGCTCACCTTTTAGAAGTAAAAAAATGCACTTTGAGAGTGCGTCAGTGCGTCGTTGTCCATCAACGGCTGGAGGAGCATCCAAGTCGTTAATATTTTTATTTCCTGCAGCATGTAGAAAATATTTGAAATGATCTCTAAAATTTAGTTTCACTTTCTTTGAACCCACACTGGTCTTTTGCTACAGGTGCTAACTTTGCAACGTTGGTGCTGAATTAAATGACTGGCATAAGAATGTCATCATGTTTCTCTTCTTCTAGTTCAGATTGGAGTGTTTTAAGAGCAGTGACTTCCACTGAGTTATTCTTTGAGGGACTGATTGCACTGCTGCCCCCTGCAGGTTGGGATGAGCATGCTAAACCGCCTTGTGTGCGTTCCAATGGGTTCTTACTGTGAGGGACCACATGAATCCATTTTCATGTTATCTGTGAGAAACTCCTGTGTATTCCCCTTAAAATAATTTGTATGAGATGTTTGGGCAAAATTACATTCCACAAGACAAACACGTTGTTATTGAGCGCTTAAGTTGAGGTGTTTGTTTCTGAGGTCAAACATAACCTCAGAAACAAAATCTTAACTCGTAGTCCACTTGCTAGCTTTTTCCTGAGCTTACAGATCCAGAGACCGTTTAAATGTGGAAGAAAGCGGACCTTGATTATAAGATAAATTTGTCAAACTACATCTTTTATTCCAAAAAATAAATGTTGACTACTTAAACCACCATATCATAAGGTCCAGGTAAGAAAGAACTAAACTGCAGTTAGGTCATTAAATTACAGTTTTGTTTCAAATATCATGAAAACAATTCAATAAAAAAATAAAAAACTGTATTTCCAAACACCATGTCTTCATGTTGCTGTGCAGTTCTAAAGTGAAAAGGTGTGCTTTCTGATTTGAGGTCCATCCACTATGAATTAGGAATCTGTTCCACTGTTTAAACTCAGACCACAACAGTGTTTGCTGGTCGGCCCTATGGATTTCCACATCTCTGTTCTGGTGAATTTTTACGTTTTACAGTCTCGGTTTCTTTGTGCCCCCTCTCAGATCTGTTTGTATACAGTCATGTTCACCATCTACAATTCCCTTTTCTAGGTCTTTCTTTCTGTTAGTCCTGTTTGTGCAACACTTGTATAATATTGTATTTCCTACATGATCTTTGAAAAGTTTTTTGTTCAATAAAACTGATCTGAAAAGAATCTGAATTTTATTTTTTAATCCTCAACTACAACATTTCCCAGAACATAATATGACTTAACTCCCAACACATGTAGTACGATCTCCAATGCTGACAGTTTATTTTATTACCATGTGATGGCTGCTGTTGATCATTGGAAAATGCACTTATTCCCTTTCTGAGAGTGATAAAGCTGAAACTATGAAGGGATTAGTCAGTCAATAGACAATTAGTCTTTTTTTAATTGTAATAATGCCAAAAAATGGACTCCCAACTTCTCAGTTGTAAGGATTTTCTACTGTTCTTGTTGTTAATAATTAGCTCTAATCGGGCACCAAAATTCAGGTACGACCCCAGAAGAATTCGGTGTGCCTGAACCATGGAGGCAGTTTTGGGTCCAAACCCGACCCAATCCAGAATTTCTGCTAAAAATAAAGCAAACTACTAAAGTAAATTACTTTGTGCAAATAACACACATTATTATTATCAAAACTAATAATTACCAAATTCACTCATTAATTACAGTTGCATGCATTATTAATAAAATATTAAATATATTATAAATAGATATAAATGTATAACTAATTAAGTCTGAGCCGCAGCAGTTTTGGACCCCAACCCGTTGGACCGTGTTGCGTCCAATCAGGTTTGGGCAGAGAATCTAAGCTTTGCTTGTGATAGTAAACTGAATGTCTTTGGGTTTTGGGCTGTTTGTCAGACAGAACACGCAATTTAAAGACGTGACACAGGGCTTGAGGTAATTGTGAGGCATTTTCTTGATTAAAGGACGTGTCCACATTTCTAGGTCTGTCTTACAATGGGAACCAAATCATTGAAGTAAAAATTTGGTCTTGTTCAAATTTAAAGGTCCAGTGTGAAACATTTAGGAGGATCTATTGGAAAATGGAACATGTTCATAGGTATGTTTTCATTTGTGTGTCATCACTTGAAAATAAGAATAGTTGTGTTTTTGTTACCTTAGAATGAGACGTTTTTATCTACAGAGGAGGCAGGTCCTCTTCCTTGGAGTCCGCCATGTTGTATTTGGATCAGCTGTGTGTACATCCCCTATAAAGGTTGACAGAATTCAGGCTCAAGAATTAGGATTGTGTTGTGGGACACTAGTGGAGAAAATGTGATTAAGTATGATCTAGGAAGCCCTTCTAGTAGAGAAAACATGATTAAGTATGATCTAGGGAGCCCTTTTAGTGGAGAAAACAATAAAATGTCCTTTAGGGTGCCCTTCCAGTGTAGAAAGTGTGATTAAGTATGATCTAGGGAGCCCTTCTAATGGAGAAAACGTGATTAAGTACCATCTAGGGAGCCCTTCTAGTGGAGAAAACATGATAAAATGTCCTTCTGGGTGTCCTTCTAGTGGAGCAAATGTGATTAAGTAACATCTAGGATGCAGATGGCAGCGGAGAAACTGCCCCCTGCACCTCAGACAGCCACTGAGTGAAAAGGTAAATCAACTTTTCAAAAATGGAACAAATCAGGTAGAACTGGCAACACCAATATGAGAGGCAGAAGGTTATGGGATGGAGATCTTGGATTCAGTTCAGTTTTATTTGTACGCCTTATAAAATAAATAAAGTTATTTGTATCATATCCAGCTGGAAGTGCTAAGGCCACTTGGGAAAAGTAGGAAATAAGAGGGTTTCAGTTGTGTTAGACTGAGAGATATCAAACTAAATGAACCTCTACACCTTATTGGAAAACATCTGAGCGGAACCTGTGATATCTGATATTAAATGTAGAATTAAGTCATATTTATTTATCCTAAATATGTAAGAAAAAGTTATTAAAGCATGAAGAAGGATTAAACACATTGACCTTAAAGGCACTTTAACAGTACAGCTTGTGGCAATAATGGTCTGCCTGGTTATAATCCGCTATTAAAAGAAGAAGATTAGAATAGTTTAATATCATTGTTATTATAATTTCTTATAATAAAGATAACTTACATGTAACAACAGCTACCAAAAGTAACAGATAAGAGAAAAGAATAAAAGATTTTATTATTAATGTTATAATCTACAGTATATTATCTATATAGAGACATTTAATGTACTACAGGCTGCTATAGTTTTGTTTTTTGTTTTATAGTGTCGAATTTAATAAATGTTTTGCTTGAACTTCTTGATGAAGGCAACAAATCAACAAATAAATGTTCATTTAAGTATATACAATAATAATACCAATAACAATGTACATAAGTGTCCTTCCAGGAGACAAAATCTTCAATATTTTCACAGTAAAGCTTTTACAGCTGGACATCTGACAACCGATCTGTTGATTTATTTATTACTGTGTTTAGCTGGAGAGAATTTCTGAATGAGTTTAAAATAAAAGTTCTGAACCCTGTTGGTGATTAAGTATCGACGAGGAAGAAGCAGGACTTCATCAACCGGTCTGTGTCAAAATTATTCCAGTGTTAAATATTATTACGGTAATGAAGAAGAAGAAGAAGAAGAAAAGATCTGAACATATATTTACAAACACTTTCACATTTAAAAACCTGTAAGCTTTTTTTTTAGCAAATTTATCTGAAAAGTTGAGACTATTTATAAACATCTATTAGGTTGTATGGTCCAAAAATGTTTTTTAATAAAGTTTAAAAGAAAGAAAACATCCATGAGAACAAGGAAGGGAGGTCAGGTGAAATCAATTGATGAAGGAGATCACGTGATCACTGTTGTGCCACCGTGAATCGTCAGAAATTTGGAAAATGACCTCAAACCTTCACATCACACAGATTCTATAAAGTTAAACTAATATTAAAGTGAATTATTAATATCAACGACATCCTTTAATAAAAGCTCCTGTAGCAGCAGTGAGTTTACAGTCTGGAGATTAAAGAAAGACCATCTTCATACTGTGAGTTATCCTCAATATCTACTCTATAAGTACATCTGCTGCTGATATGGACAATCAATAATATATTATAAAAATATATAAAAATCACAAAATCCTGCAGTATTAAAGATAAAATATATGACAAACAGCATTTTACTAAAGGTTCCTGTAGAGCTGAAGAGTTCCTGGTCTATAAATCGTCTCCAGATTTAAGAAAACATGTTTGTTTGATACAAAACCCAACAAATTACTTTAAAAATGTAATCTGATATAAATTATTGATTACCTGTTAAACAGTGTAGTCAGTAATCTAATCCAAGTATCACAATATTTAAGAAATGTAACTTGATTACTTGATGTCAGTAAGCAGTATTGATGTAAGTTAATCAATAAGAAAACAGAACGATGTAACTTAATAAAATGGAAGATTTCTAGCATCAGACTTTTTTTTCTGTTTGGTTTATTTTTTAAAGAAAAAATAATGACTTTTAAATTGTAATCCTGCTAAATAATCCACATTTAAATGTAACTGTAATCTGATTACATCTTTTTACAGTTAGTTTTTTTGTATCCTGATTACATAATTTATTTACATGTAATCTGTTGCTCCCCGAGCCTGATTACATCATCACAATTTTAAATAGTTTAATTTTTTCAAAGAAAATTTTAATTGTGATGCAAAAATGATCATCCCCACTAATAAATAATCATATAATAATAATATAATATGTATAATAATACTTAATATCTGTCAAAATAAGTCTGTAAGTACAAATTTGAGGTTCTGTATTTTTAGTTGTTTTTTAAATATTTTTTGCACTTTTTTATGCCTTTATTTTGATAGGACAGGTGAGGAAGTAGGTTGGAATCGAACCCGGGCCGCTGCGAGAAGGACTTATGGGCTGTGCGCTCTACCAGGTGAGCTATCCTGCACCATTTGTTCACGCTACTTTATCCATTTTCAACATTTCAGAGATTTTATAGTTTTTACTCCACTACATTTATCTGAAAGGCAGCTTCAGTTATTAGTTACTTACTTACTCAAAAGCAGTGTAATAACATATTTGGAGCTTTGTGGTAAATTAAAGTACTGTACCTCACAATATATACTAGCGCAGCTTCTAAAATGTGAGGATTTACTACTTTTCCTTTTTAATTGTAATTTTGATCAATGTTGATGCTACACTGAGTTGTAAAAGGGTGAATGGTTCCTCAGTCGTTCCCACTCGGTACCTCAGACATCCATAAACTTATTGAAAGAAATAAGTCATTTTACCGGCTACCTCACGTAGTTATAGTGCTGTCAGCATCAGATTTCAGCAGCAGATCCACCATTCAGTACCAACATATTAGTGTTTAATGGAGGCTAGTTAGGCTGTCACTGTCGTGAGATCTTTGTCACAATATATTTTTAATAGTCAGGTAGATTTAGAAACTTTTTGTCTTGTTTTGTTTGTCTTGGCTGTTTCATGCTCTTTATCTCTTAAATTGCATAATTGATCTGCTGCTGATGTTTTCTGACTCTGAAGCTGTTGTTGTCTGGGTAGATTAATGTGCTGTTATATGAGTCGTCTGTGTGTCCAGTTTGGCTTGGCCCACCCTGGTCTGGTCAACACCTACTGTGTCTACTATATCTACTATATCTACTGTATCTACTGTATCTACTATAACTTCTGCATCTATTGTATCTATTGTATCTAACATTATGGGTTTACACTTGCATATCTGCTAGGTACTTGTCGTTGTGTTGTAATTATTCTCATTTTAAACTTGCTATGAATTATGTTTATGTGTTGGTAAAATGTAATCACAGGGTTGAGATCCTCTGTCTCCCTCTGCCACAGCTTATAGACACAAACACCTTTTTATGTTCATATAAGATGTCTGACTGTGATCCTCTGTGAGCGCTGGATAAATTATCATCATAATATCATCGTAATAATTTTGCTTCCTTATATCTGATGCCCTAGGGTAGCCTGTTCTTGCTCCAGGTAACTTTCTGTGTAACGCTTTACGGCAGTAAGTCACACCAACTATGTGACTGATTTTGGAGAAACGGGATCATATTTTATGGAGAAAATGTTTCCTGGTTTCCCCTCTGATGTCCTCCGGCTGTTCCACCTCAACTCTCTGTGATATACAGAGTTTCCTGCTGCTGTTAGCTAG